CAGTTTCCCCTCTGTGAAATGGAGACCACAGCAGCGTCCGAGCGCATCCTTGGCAGGCCACTGAGAACTCACAGGCGCTCCGGCAGCGGGAGGAGGGGCTCACGGGGCGTCTGTGCCCCTCCCTTCCGCACGCAGGCCTGGTGCCCCTCGGGGCTCTGGGGTCCGTGGAATTCACCCTGGCCACGCTGCCCCTCATCTCTAACCAATACATCGAGCTGGACGTCAACGTGAGTGCCGCGAGGCCCTGCTGCGGCTTGGGGTGGGGGTGCAGGGCCCCCCGGAGCTGGCCCACTACGGATGAGTGCCTGAGACCCCCGCGCCCTCTCCTGCCCCTGTAGTCCATTGTGAAGAGTGTAGCTGGTGACGTCATTGACTTCCCCAAGCCCCGCCTCCCGGTCAAGGTGCCGCCCAAGGATGACCACACGTCCCAGGTGACGGTGCCTCTGTACCTCTTCAGCACCGTGTTTGGGCTCCTGCAGAGCCAGGGTGCCCTTGACATAGACATCACCCCCGAGCTGGTGAGTGTGCCGTCGGGGAGCCGGGCTGGCGCTGAGCTCTCGTCCCCTCCTAGGCCAGAGCTGGGCAGGGTGGCAGCGTGGACCAGGCACTGCTGGTCTTTGGTAGCCCTCCATGGGGTTAGGCTGGAACGGGACCCCTGAGTCCTTCTCAACTCAGCACCGAAGGCATTCACCTTGCACTGGTCAGAACCGGCTTATGAAATGAAGCTGTCTGGGTCTAAGCCCAACTTTATACTAAAGTGTGGCTAGCTAACATGTCCGCCGCTGTCTGTGGAGCAGATTTGAGTCAGAACAGGTGACTGGGGTGGACCATACCAAGGGCCGCTCGCATATTTGTTCCCAAGTCTCTGGGGCCTCCCTGCTTCCACCCCGACCCCTCTCGTGCCCCCAGAAGCTGTGGCCACAGGCAGGTTCTTGGTGTCGGCTCTCTCCAGAGTCAGTGAGCTCCGAGCCGCCTGGACTCCTGCCCCTGCAGCCCAGGCCCTGGGGAGCCAGGGTGGGTCGCTCACTCCCTACCCGCGGGGTCCAGAGAACCTCTGAAGGCTCTGGGAGAGTGACGGGGCCTTGAGAGGAGAGGCAGGTGGCTTCCGGCTGGGGGAGGGGCAGTCATGGCCTGCAGGGAGCTTGCAAAGCCAGGGAGCTCGGGGTGTGGGTGTGAGCACTGGGCGAGAAGGTGACCTCGGGCGGCATGGCGTGCTGCTGGCTGCCCGAGGTGTGTGACGGGCGGGTGCTTGTGCGGCGTGAACAGGTCTGCTCTCAGACGGCCAGAGTGCAGTGCAGGGGTCTCGGGCGCCAGGGCCGGTGTCCACTCGTGGCCCCCGTGGCGGGGAGAACAGGCCCCACGTTGCTGCCTGCTAGCCACATGCTTGCACGCGACTCCCTGACTAGCCAATCTGCACCACCGCTGGGGCACACTCTGGGTCCTCAGTGGGTGAGCCCTGGCGGACAGGGGAGGGGTCTGTAAGGAGCCTCGGCTCCAAGTCCTGGTGCCCCCGCTGACCGAGCGGCCGCCTCCGAGGCGGTGGGGGCACCACCTACCTCTCCGGGCTGCTGGAAGGTGAAAGTCGGGCAAAGTCCGGCCAAGCCCTGAGATGTGGGGGCCGCAGTGTGTGCTTCGTGACTGCCGCCGATGGGACCAGCGGCAGTGTGTGTCGCTGTGTGTGTGGTTGGTGTGTGTGACCATGTGTGTGTCGTCGTGTGTATGTGATTCTATCACCATGTGTGTGTGTCGCCGTGTGTGTTACCATGAGTGTGTCATCGTGTGTGTCACTGTGTGTTGTCATGTCTGTTGTGTGTATGTGTGTGTCACCGTGTGTGACCATGTGTGTGTTGCCATGTGTGTTGCCCTGTGTATTTCGCTGTGTATGTGACCGTGTGTTGTGTGTATGTATCGCCATGTGTGTGTCATGTGTGTCACTGTGTTGTCATGTCTGTTGTGTGTATGTGTCGCCATGTGTGACCATGTGTGTGTCACCGTGTGTGTGTGTGTCAATGGAGGAGCAGAGTTGCTTCGAGCGTGCTGGGGATCCTGCCCTGCCCCTGCGCTCACTGGTCCCCCTCCCATTTGGTGGTCCAGGTTCCCAGCCGCGTCCCTCTGACAACCTCAGACCTGGCGGCTCTTCTCCCTGAGGTGAGTGCCCCTCTCCTGGCTTTGCTCTCTCCTACAAGCCTGAATGCACTCCAGAACCTGGCTCAGTAAAGCTCTCCAGGAAACCAATTCAGGGCTGAGGCCAAATTCACACTCAAGTGTGAGTGGTTAGCACTTTATCCTTTCCTTATAGCAGATTTTGCTTAGAAAGGAAAGGACTGGGGCTTGACTGCCCCAGAAGTCAACTGGGCATTT